TCACACTGACGCCAGTGGTCATGGTCTCGGTGCCGTTCTACTGCAGCGTGACAACACCGCACGCGAACGTGTCATCGCTTACGCCAGTCGTGCTTTGACTGCTGCTGAGAAAAGTTATACAATAACCGAACAAGAGTGCCTTGCTGTTGTATGGGTGGTACAAAAATTTCGTCCATACCTCCATGGCCGCCATTTCACAGTTGTCACCGACCACAACGCATTGTGCTGGCTTTCGTCGCTATTAGAACTTATCGGGTCGTCTTGACCGCTGGGTGCTTCGTTTACAAGAGCACAACTTTGATGTCGTCTACAGGTCTGGTAAAAAGCACCAAGATGCTGATGCTCTCTCTCGCAGCCCTCTACCCAACCGTAATAGTCCACCGTCACCAATTTCAACCGCAGCATTACTTATCGCAGGTCTCAGTTGGGTAAAATCTGGCCGCCCTTCTACCTTTGTGTCGCATCAACGCGTTGGCCCTTACTGCCGCTCCATAATAGCATGCTTAGAAGATACATCCACTCCTCCGAACGCCCGACTTCGCCGACAACTGAAATAATTCAAGCTTCACGATGGTGTTTACTTCGCTATATTTACCACGCTAAAGGAAACAAATGGGTCCCCGTTATACCACGTTGTTTACAACGTCAGGTTCTTGAGACATTCCACGATGATCCTGCTGCTGGGCATCTCGGCTATCACAAAACGTACGACAAAATACGTAGTCGGTTCACCTGGCCTGGCCTCTCATCCACGAGTGCCAAATATGTTTCTTCGTGTTTCTTGTGGAAACGACCCACTACTGCTTCTTCTGGCTTTCTCGAACCTCTAACTTGTCCCGCTTTGCCATTCGAAGTCGTCGGGATAGACTTGTACGGCCCCCTTCCCGTGACTTCCAATGGAAATCGTTGGATTGTAATGGCTGTTGACCACCTCACTCGTTACGCGGAAACCGCCTCACTGCACGCTGGTACAGCCACTGAAGTAGGAGATTTTTTTCGGCGTAACATATTTTTACGCCATGGAGTTCCACGTGTTCTGCTCAGTGACTGCGGCAAGGTCTTTCTTTGCTCTATTGTTGCTGAGGTTCCACGCGCCGCCAACACCATCCACAAAGCAACTTCTACTTATCATGGCTTGACGGAAAGCTTTCATCGTACCCTCTCGGACATGATTGCCATGTACGTTAACCCTGACCACACGAACTGGGACGCCATTTTGCCATTCGTAACGTTCGCCTACAATACAGCTACGCAAAGCATCACCGGCTTTTCTCCCTAATTTCTGGTCCATGGCCGTTCTCCAAGTGTAACTCTGGACGTCTCCTTCCTTTCGGCTCCTGCTACCTCAGCAAGCCCTTTATCCGGACAATTTTTGTCTCGCCTCGAGCATTGCCATCATCTCGCCCAAATCAACACCGGTATCTCTCAGAAAGCTCGCAAGTCTGACTACGACTCGACACACCGTGTTGTCACCTTTTCCCCAGGAGAAGAAGTTCTTCTGTGGACTCCCGTGTGTGTGCCCGGCTTATGTGAAAAATTCCTCAGTCGTTTTATAGGGCCTTATACGGTGATTGAACAAACGTCCCCCGTTAATTACCGTATCTCAACACTCAACGCTCCCTCCGGCCACCGTTGCCGTGAGACAGAAATTGTGCACGTTTCTCGGCTGAAACTGTACACCCGACGCAATTCCTAATATTAGAGAGTTTTAGTACTGCGGAATGGTGTTACGTACGCATCACGCAAGCGCCTTGCGTTACGTGGCGTCATTTGCCACTAATCGGCTTTTAGTACGCCGTAGTACCCGCTTACGTAACGAGCGTGAAGCGTGTTGCGCCATCTGGTAGATTAAAATAGAAGCACGTGTTGTTGACAGCCAATGTGAGCCAATCCAAGTGTTATAGCCAGATAATGGCCATATTTTAAGCCACAGAGCCGGTAGGTGCTTGCCTTCGATGCCGCCATTTTGCAAAACGAAGTCTCGCGCTGTCGCGAACTTGCTCGAGAGCGGCGCGATCACCTCATACGTACGCACGCACGCATCTCATGCGTGCGTACGTAGCGGCTGCGTACGTAACGCGATACGTACGCGTTGCGGTCTGCGCATGCGCACTACGCAGAACGTGGCGTCCTTGCGTACGCAACGCCGCCACGTACGCAGCGTACGCAGTACTAAAACTCTCTATTGTCTCTCGCGCGGCCAGGAGGCCGCTTCCAGCGTGACGGGGAATTAGTGTGAGCGCAGTCACTGACTCTTTATCAATTGGACGTGTCATCATCATTTGTATAATTTCCTCATCTGTAGATATCATCATCAGTGTGTGCCAGCTCGAGCTCGCCTCGAATAAACCTCTTCCTCATGATATAAAGGACAAATTTATTCGACGGCGTCGTTAGCATGGTTATGAGTCTTATGACCAACCACATGCGTCAGGTGGCAGGTGCTCCTACGGTCACATTGTGTCAGACACATATGCTTTGGGCGGGCCACTTGTCGGCTTGCATGCATGACGCGTTGCACAGGAACCCGTCATCTGCCACATGTCAAACTGGGGGCTCGCTAAAAACGTGGCATGCGTTTCCACCTCAAGTTGTCTGCGTACCATAGCCGCGTTCCCAGACTAACCTCCGTATTCAGGAACGCTGCTTGACTTGACTTGCCACCGACTTCAATGCAGAACAATGCGTTTCGTAAGCGCTGACTTTAGGAGGTGCCAAGGCAGCACAAACACACAGACGCGTTTCAAACGCGCTGCATTGTAGGTGGTTTCAAGTCAAGTTGAAGTAAGTCAAGGAGCTTTTATGAATACGGGGGTAACCTCCATATTCACAAACGCTGCTCGACTTGAACTTGACTTGCCACCGACTTCAATGTAGCACAAATGCGTTTTGAACGCGCTGTCTTTAAGAGTGCGAAGGCAGCACAAACGCACAGACGCGTTTCAAATGCGCTGCATCGATGGTTATTTCAAGTCAAGTTCAAGTCAAGGAGCGTTTCTGAATACGGGAGTAAGTGTCGGGGTCGTTGTTCTGAGAATACGTCTTTCAGAAACAGGAATGGGTTTTTCCTGAGAAAGTATAAAAAGGGTTTTTGCTGTTTATGGAATTCACTCATGTGACCTATATACCATCGTACGAATATTGCACGCTATTTGTCGCGTGAAGCCAATCAAATGCGAAAGGTTTTTGCCATCACGTCAAAGGACAGGACGTCAGTTTCCATAACAAAAATAGCCGATATGTGCTGCCATAGTCCAAAATTAAAGTTGTTTATCCTCAGAAATAAAATATAAAAGCTTCGATTTTAGCACTGCGACTTGCGCAACAATGTCAGCGTATTTCACAGCACCAAAAGAACACACGCAAAAGACCTGCTCAACGTGTCGCAGGGCACCTTTAAGCACAAGCAAGAATTGGCGGAAGCAGCTAATGGCTTATCCATTTAAAATTAAACTAGCGCATGACCTTCCCTCCCACGACAGTACTGAATTTGTTGCAGAATGATCAAGCACATTTCAAGCGTGGCTTCTGAATGTGGCGTGCATGTTCCCGGATAGCTGCTGGGGTTACTTGCCGCTGTCATCACACAAGCCCTTAAAGGGCCACTCACCAGGCCCCATACCGAATTTTAGTTAAACTGTTGAAGTTGTTGGGTGTCCGATGAGGAATGTTTTGCCACAAAAAAGTTTTTTGCGTCGGTTCATTACGAGCGGAGAAAACAGGTTTTTTGAAGTGACGCGAAACAAGGGTGAGAGGAGGCAAGTTCGAAACCCTTGCCGCTCCTCCGCGTAGCCTTCGCAAGCAAAATCTCTTCCCCACCCTCTCCACCATCCGACCATGAGGTGACGCGCGCATGACGTGCCCAAACAAGTCCAACCCCCGAGCACACGAGCAGCGTTGATTTGTTGACCAGCGTGATTTTGCGGTCTTCTGCCTGTTTTTGCGGGACGGTTTAGAAACGCTGGCTTTCATGCGGTAGAGTAGATGAGCACAATGAGTGCGCGAATGCGTAGGAGCGTTCCACGGTTGTCGTCTGCTCAATGCGCTGACCGCGGGGACACGAACGCATGTGAAACGCTGCCACATTAGCCCCGCATCTCGTAGCATTTCACAGTAAAAAAAATGAAAGAAAAACGTGCACATTTTTATTGCATCTCATTATTTATTTCAAGTTTTAATAATCTTTTGAAGCAATGAATGCATAAACTACGCATTTTGTGTTAAATATTTTTTGCCATGTCACGTGACATACTGTTGACGTCAGAGCATACTCGTTACGTAGAGGGCCAACGTCACTGCACTGTCGTGTACGTAGGGCCATTTCTACGCCCACGTCATGCCCTCATTCTCTACGCGTGCGCCGGCAGAGGGGAGGGGGAGCTGCTTTCATCTTGAAATTTGACCCATTTCCACGGCGCGTAGCGTTGCGAATTTTGGCAGCCATTATTATGAACGCCTCTTCTACGCATTGCGCTTGTCAGCTCAAATTGGTCAAACCTGGTGAGTGGCCCTTTATCTTTTGTTAGGCGCTCACATGGGTGCTCGTGGTTGCCTTTTTAGTTTGTTGATTTCCGGTGGCGTGTGCCCAATATAAACTGTATACATTATCAATAAATTCAACGCCCAAATTGCGCCTGCTCTATGTCTAGTCTCAGTGCATTATTTTTCACCTCGAAAAATCCTCCTTTCTTCTTTAATTAGCCGGCCGCAGCTGTCCATTTGTTATGGAGGCGTTACGCCTCCACAAGATGATTGCTGTTACCGGAGCCCTCCACAATGGTGTGCCTCATAATTATATTCTTGGTTGAGCGTGGAAGCCATGATATTTGTATTGTTGTAATATTATTCTCCTTCTACTACTATATGTATACTTCTACTCTTGTTATTATTGTTTTGACTTGTCAGTACGCTAGAAGTCGCAAGCCATTGGCACAGCTAAGTTATCAGGCAAGGCCGAATGTTTTTGCCCAAATGAGCACGTGGAGCACGCGGAACACTACCGGGCATGAGGTCAACCTTGGGGTACTTCTCAGCGTAGATGCGGCCCAAGTCTGCCAGGTAATCGCCCACGGTGAGTGGCAAGTTCAGGCCGTCGATCACCAATCGCGCAGAGTCCGGCCCGGTTGTGCCCATCACCTTCACCTTCAGTTCCCACGTGTACTTCTTCCCGTAACGGCTGGCGATCGTCTGTACTGCCTCCTCGTGGATTTTCTCAGTGTCTGTGCTCATATATAAAAGAAACACAAAAACAGTAAAACATCGAATCTACAAATAGAGAACGCGTTCAACTCAGTTACATTTTGTGTCGCATAGTATTCTTTGTGATGCTCAAGTCTTCATTCTTTGAAGCGACAAAATGTCGTCAGCACGTGAGGGCAGGTGGTTGATTAGGGCAGGTGGTGCACATACTAGCTACGCACCCACGAAAATTGATCTAGTGCGAAACCCTAGTGATAGACACGCAACAGAAAGTTCATGATGATTGCGCTTGTGCTATAGTCGACTTCCATTGCTTTTGTTCCCTTTATCTCTTTCGGTACTGTGACTACGTTTCCTAACACTTGTCCAAATCACCGGTGACATGAGGTCTGTACGCCAACATAGAACCGTTTGCCCTAGAAAGTACTTCACATTGTGGCAACCTAGCACAACAAACTACTGTAAAATCCCCAACAAGAGTCCTACCAGAACAAGCGCCCTCTATCTTTTTTTCAGAGAATGGAAATATGCAACCCTGATCCTGCTAGCGCCCACCCTTCTTATAACCACCATTTTCATTGTTTGTTTTTACCCGTGAACGGCGATTGAAACACCTAATACGTGCTAATTTCATAAAACACCTAATAAAAAACACTGGTGTACATTCTCTACTCTTACCACAGCTACGACCACCGTCTGGCTGTTTGATCTCCGACCTAACAAACTCTCCCCCCCCCCTTCAAATCTTGTCGAATGATCTGTAACCTTATTATGTATCGATTGGCTAATGATGGGAGTGTGCACTAGCTTGGAACATCAAAGTATGTATCGACTGTGAGTTCTCACGAATAGACATGTTCGAACCTCATCGCAGACAGTCCCTTGAAATATGTGTAACAAAACTATATATATATAACGCACATCATGCCTCTCGGTCTCTAGTTAGCAAAGTAGGTCTTTGGGCTAACCGGAGTATAAGGACATCTAAGTGAACTCCAATACAAGTGCGATTCTGTCACTCCTGGCAAAAGTAAGTTAGCAGCAAACCAGTGACAACAGCTCTGTGAAGAAAGGTTGGCTGAGAGAGGTTGAAGCTGCTTTCTCCAAGTGAATTCTGTACGATATGTTAAATTCGAAAATTCGACAGATCCCACGTACCTTTGGAATTGTAGTTATACGAAGCCTTGGCTGACAACTAGAGTATAGTGCCATCACAGCAGTTTTTTCTTCAGTGGTATGAAAAACCTACCCAGCAAAACTAACCTACACTGTAGATTAGTTTTGCAACCTATCGTAGTTCATAGATTGAAAATCATTACGCGGGCTTCCTTATTTTATAGTCTGTACTTGAACAATGTACAATAAAATGAACAGGTGACATAGCTGCTATTTGAGCTTTCTTTCTTGTATACGGCAGGGAAGCAGAACTTTAAAAAACAGTGGCTCTCCAACACTACTACAAGTAATCAAGTAATGAGATCACTAAAAGAGCTTATTGCCTCACTCCACAAAGTTTGAAGAATCCATCTAGTACGAGGATAGTTACAAAGATTTGTTTCACGCTGCAATCGCATTCTCCCATCTCTCGTCCCGATGAAAGTACTGGAAGCTTAGTAGGCAAAGATGGCACACAGAAAGAAAATACGTCATGGGTGCTTGTGCCTATCGTTAACTTAATCACTTTTTCTTTTTTTCTTGAAATACCCGGCTTTTTCAGTGTGATCGCACGCACACGCGTGCACAAGCCGCGGCCTCCTGCAGCGATCCCTGTAACGACCAAGCGCGCCTAGTTCCATCCATCCATCCATCCATCCATCCATCCGTCCATCCATCCATCCATCCATCCATCCATCCATCCATCCATCCATCCATCCATCCATCCATCCATCCATCCATCCATCCATCCATCCATCCATCCATCCATCCATCCATCCATCCATCCGTCTGTGCGTACATCCATCCGTCCGTTTGTCCAACCGTCCATCCAACCGTCCATCCGTCTATCGATCCACCCACCCACCCATTTACCCATCCATCCATCCACCCACCCACCCTACCACCCATCCACCCACCCACCCATCCATCCATCCATCCATCCATCCATCCATCCATCCATCCATCCATCCATCCATCCATCCATCCATCCATACATCCATCCATCCATCCATCCATCCATCCATCGTTACGAAGGCGAGACGCCAACATGGTCCCGAAGGTGCCACTGCTCTGAACTCCGCCGTCAAGGTCACCAGCCGTTTGGTAGAATAGGTTTCTCAGCTCACGACTGCTTCTTCGCAGAGCTGATAGACGAGTGGACAGGACGACGGTGAGTTAAGGCAAGGTTTTTGTACAGCGTAGAAATAGAGGCGTTACAAATTCGGCGTGTCCCCATTGGAGGATCACGGCCAGCGGCGCTTCTGGTTGGATGTTGGTGATTTAAAGGATCCACCCAGTGCTTAAGAAAAAAGCCCTGCGACGGGTCGTCAGCAGTAGACCTATGTGCCACAGAAGCCTCTCGTTGCTTCGAGCCCTTTCGCTGTCGGCGTGACGGGTGTCCTTGTAAGCGGCGAGTTTTGCGGCGCCCATCGTAACCTCGTCGGCGGTGCGCTTCGTAGCAGTTGACCTATGCGGCAGACAGAAGCCGACGGATGCGTGCGAGAGAAGACATCTCGGCTCTTCGAGTCCCTAAGCTGTCGGCCCCAGTGCCGAATTTGTAACGCCTCTATTTCTAACCAAGGACGATGGATGTGGCCACGCATTGCGTAAGACTCGCCAGACTGGAAGGCGCCGATTGCTTCATCGGGCTCGTGGGTTGAGGGAGCTCAGTGCGCGTTGCGTGACAGACTGGTGCCGCCTTTTGATGACGTCATTGAGTTGATTGCGTCAGGCGGGCTCGAGTGCTGGCCTTGACACAGATTGCCTTTGCAGAGGCATGGACGTTCAGTGTGGACTGCCAGGCGTAACAGCACCCCCGCCGCCAGACAATGCGCCGGAAAGACGAGCTGCTTCCACTTGGCTCAGATGTCGGGCGCGCTCGTTCACCGGGTCCCTCCAGGTTTGCCTCCAGGGCCATGGGGAGAAAGTAGCTCTAGGCTCAGTTCCATGAACACATTCATTACTTGAGGACGAATCCCAGCTCCACTGCCTTGTCGCCACAATTTAACGGCCAGCTTATATGGTGGTTTTGGGACGTTAAACCCCACATATCGATCAATTATCATTGTCGGCCAGCTTCACTCGTCTCTTCTGACGATCTTTGGTTTCAGCACTTGTTGATGGTTCTGCAACTTGTCAAAAACGGTTATGGTATCGACGCCAAAATAGGAATGGCATACCATGACTGTATAACCAACACAACTGACTATCAATGACACGAAAATTATGAGATGTATGTCATGATTTACATTTCATAACCTTGCTGCTCTTGCGGTGGTTTCGTTCACATTACATTTTGCAAAACTGGTATGTGATGACATGACTACATGGCGAACATAAGTGACAAACCATAACGTGGAACTCATTATAGGCATGTAAGTCTTGACTAGACGCCACGCTTATGGTGCACTCGCAGTCGTTTCGCTAGCTTCACATATACCAAATTTGGTATTACGGGACGTGAATAGATGACGAGGGTACATGACTGGTGCAAACATGATAATCATGAGATGCGTGTCATCTAAGAACATGACTACACGTCATGCTCATGATGCTCTCATGGTCGTTTCACTAGCTTTACATTTATTAATCTTGGTGTTACATGACGTGAATGGACGACAAAGCCAAATGGCACAAAATTGGCCCGTATCTGCAGACTACACTGCAAATGTCGTCAAAAGACGATATTTTTTTGTCTGGAGAGAGTGACCAAAACGTTTATTTGATGATCTGTGCAAGAAAATTGGTGAATGGTATTCTGCAGGTGCTGCGTTAAAGTCCCTCGAGCATGCAGCCGAGGCGAACGAGCGCATCAAGTCACGTCACACGTGAGACATAAGCGCCATCTGGCAGTTTTTTAGAAAACAAAGCGCGTGGCTCTAAGACGGGTGTGCGCGCCCATCTCAGAGTTGATAAGATGTAGAACGCAAGGCGACGGGTAGGTGCCACCACCGTCTCGTTTTAGCAAAGCGTTGGAAACACTCGCTTTTCCGTGCAAGCGTTGCATGGTCAGCGCACCGTAATAAGCGCTACAGTCCTTATAGTTACTTATGTATGCCTTTTTTAGTAAAAGGCTCACATACAGAATATATACGTGTTGTTATGCTACCCAAGACATTAGCAATATTTGCTTTTTAATCGACAATTGCACAAGCATCTTTATTCCATGTTTGTGTGCGCACATTTTTCAGTCTGAAGTTAAATCAATACTAATTATTGCTGAATTATTCGTGTTACTCTTAGCCATAGTGTTCTGTGGCAGTGGTATGAATGGGTTTTGGTTTAAACGGGGCGATGCCAGTCAAGGCGGCGAAATTTTCTTTTTAACGCGAAAGCCTTTATTGCCTCATACTCGAGGTAACTGGTGTGCGTCCCGCCCGTTGCCACGGTGCCAGCTGATGCGTCTCCTTTCATGAGGGAGGATAAATGATCTTTGTAAGAACTCGAACGCTGATGTCGTCTGCACGGTGCGCAAAGCGCGAGAATACAAACGGATGCCAAACGAAGGCAGATGAGTCACACGTTTCGCTGTGATTTGCGCTAAACATAAAAAAAAGTAAACGCGCACACTAGGGAGCCTACATGAACGGCCGTTTTTAGGGTGGAGACATCTTAATAAGTGCCTTCAAGAAACTCAGCCAAAACCAGCGAGCAACGGGGCAAGCTGTTGCCAGCTTCCACCAAATTCAGCATAGTTTTCTGTGCGCCGCCATTTTGGAGCCAGCCGCCGCTCCCTCCAGCTACGCGAAGTACGGCGCAACAAAAAGGAGCCGACCGAGTGACAGCGGCGGTTCTCAGGGTCGTGTAAGCAACCCAGTTCTCAAAGTGAGCGCACGAAGAAATTCGCAGCCCACACAGAAACACTTGCGACATAATACTGAGGTTACGCTGACACGAACGCAAGCGTCGCAACAGCTCAGACTAGCGAGCGCGTCTCCGTACGAACGCGCGGACGCGTCCCGTTTGTGGGCTTCCTACTCGCAATGCGTGGACGCAGCAACGGCAACTTCGGTTTTATACTCATTCGCGAACACCGCGAAACACATATACGTGTGCCGCAGGAAAGAACAGTGAACGAAATACGAAGTACTCACACAGCAAATACGAGACGCACTGGTGGGCTCCCAGCCGTCTCGCTTCACTTGAGCCAGCCATAGTTGTCGGCCAGGGCTCGCTGGGAAGCGGAACATTCGCACCCCCTTTCTGTTATGGTTAGTGCAGAGCGGTACGCAGCATCCAGGCATTCTAAGGCTTCACCGGCAGCGTTTAACACGTACCGCAACGTTCGACGCCGTATTATTGAGAACTAAACGCAACCGGGCGTAGAGCAGTGTGAGCACCAAGATGGGGCGACAGCGCGGCGTTGCTGTCTGGCAATATTGTGTTTTGGCGGGCGGCGGTGCGTTGGCGGCATGTTGTGGGTCAAAGGCTGACATCACCCTAAAAACGGCCGTTCATGTAGGCTCCCTAGCGCACACATTTCGTTTGAATGTCCTTCCACTGGGAGAGCTGTAAAAACATTTTCTCCGCATCGGCATGTTACACTGCAAATGTCGTCGAAAGACGATAGTCTTGCGTCTGGAAAGAGTGAAGAAAACATTTATTTGATGTTCTGCGCAAGAAAATCGATGAATGGTATTCTGGAGGCGGTGAGTGCCTCGAGCGGGCAGCGTAGGCGAACGAGCACATAAAGTCACGTCACACGTGAGACATGAGCGCTATCAGGCAGGTATCCTGGAAAACAAAGCGCGCGGCGTGTGCGCGCGTCTCGGAGGTGAAAGGTGTAGAACGCAAGGCGACGGGTAGGTGCCACCACCGTGTTTTCTTAGCAAAGCGTTGGAAACACTTGCCTTTTAGTGCAAGCGTTGCATGGTCTGCGCAGCGTGATAAACGCCACGGTCCTTGGAATTACTATTGTATGCATTTTATATTAAAAGATACACCTACCGAATACTGACGTGTTGTTATGGTGCCTGAAATATGCTCAATAATTGCATTCTAATTGACAATCGCGAGAGTATGAACGCCGACTCTTGAGCAATATTGGTGGGCGCAGCGGATGGGGTCGGCAGTTTGGGGAGGACAAACAGACAAATCTATAGATAGACAGCAGACAAAAAGACATACATACATACATACATACATACATACATACAGACAGACAGACAGACAGGCAGACAGACAGCCAGACAGACCAAAACTTTTCCGTCGAAGGTCCCCAAGAAAGACTACCATCTTTAATAATCGTCTTGTAGGCTTACGCCGCAGGAGCGAAGGAAAGAGACGGCGGAATGACAATAGACGCCAGCAGGGTACGCGAGCCTTCAACTCACGTGCCAATGCCAAGCGCTGTCTATTTTTCTCCGTTTGCAGGCGCGTGCTCACCGCTTTTCGCGCCGCTCAAACGAGGGCGCTACAATCTCAAACGTGTCATGTAAGGCACAACCACTTTTACGTGCATAGCGCGCTCGCAGCCGTTTAGCTAGCTCCACATATACCAAATTGGGTATCACGTGACGTGAATAGACGACGATGGTGAACGACACTCTCAACATGATAATCGTTATATATGTGTGTCATGTGAAACACGGCTACATGCTATGCTGACAGCGTGCCCGCGGCCGTTTCGCTTGCTCCATATATACGAATCTGAGTGATACCTGACGTGAACAGATGACGAAGGTAAATGACACGTTCAAACTATATAATCTTAATATACATGTCATGTAAAACACGACTACATGCTACGCTCATAGCACGCTGACTGCCGTTTCGCTAAGTCCATGTATACCAAATTCGGTGGTATCAGGTGACGTGAATAGACGGCGAAGGTAAATGACCCGTATATGATAATCATGGCATGGAAGTCATGTACTGCATAATTTGCGACCGCCTCGTAACATTGTGCTCGTTTTAATGTGACGGATCAACCTTCCTCATTCGTGCTTCACATACCATCGATTACTACAGTATAGGTGAGATCCGTCAGTTTTTTACAGCAGTGTTATCTATATTTAAATTGCAGGCTGATATCACCGAGTTTATCAGTGAAAATGGCTAGCTACGATCGAATCTGCTGTTGCACAGTTATATTGAACCCTACTAATAAATCTTGAGCGTTTGGCTGGATCGCAAACTGAGTGCCTAGACTTTTTAGTTGTATTGCTGTCTGCATTTCTGTGATTGTAACTCGTGATACTCGGAAATCTAACCTGGAGGGAGAGGTAGAGGATGCGAGGGCGCAACGTGTTTTCCTGGTCTTCTTTATCAGCCCAGCCTTGAATGTAAACATATGGCCGTGACGGGATTAAATGCGGACGCGCAGAATATGTCAAGCGAACTTCCGATCAATTCCACCGATTTCGGTGGAGCGGGAACTTTCGCTCCACGGAGCAATTGGCAATGTGCGATTGATTGATTGATATGTGGGTTTTAACGTCCCAAAACCCCCATATGATTATGAAAGACGCCGTAGCGGAGGGCTCCGGAAATTTCGACCACCTGGGATTCTTTAACGTGCATCCAAATCTGAGCGCATGGGCCTACAACATTTCCGCCTCCATCGGAAATGCAGCCGCCGCAGCCGGGAGAAATCTGCGGTTGCCCTCAAGCCGCCATTGCAGCAAACAATTCACGCTCCCAATACGACACTGAAATGTGATTGCTCCACTCAGAGCAGATGAAGTTGATCCGTATCTACCGTTAAAATTCAACAGGCTTCAACCATTCGCACCAGTATTCACCTGTACTTCTGAACAGGCAGGATGCACTCACAGCTGCTCCAGTTAGCGTGTAATGCGGAAACTGACGGGGTATGCCTAATGTTATAAAATAGCAAAAACCAACGAATACTGAGCTCGACGCATGTCTGATGTGAATGAGTTTTGTGCGAGCACAAGAGTGGGCCTTGTCACTTCATACTTAACGCCCGTTATTGTTATTAGTTGACATGTAGTTATCAAGAGACAGTAAACCAACGTGCCTTCAGCCGTCTGCCTCCGACCCTCTTTCCACAAAGCTCGAGGTGCGGTTACGGAGCCCTGTATAAAATGCGTTAATGTTGCTTATCTGGACTCACCTAAGACCACGCCGTCCAGGTCAAAGATCACGTGCGTCACCGGCATGAATTTAGCTGCCATGGCGGGCACCTGACGCGTCTTTTTCTCGTTCTTCTTCTCAATGTTTGGCGCATACCCACTGTCGTTATCGACAAAAGCGTTATTTCACTGACTCGCTATACTCTCTTCCTTAGGAACAAAAAGAGAGCAGAGTTTGCCACTGGAAGAGTGGGAGGGAAAGGGACCCTTGAAGAACCGACAAGTGGCCAGAACATGTCATTAGATTCTAGTAGAAATGAAAACAATAATACATATAGTGACAGATTCTAAAATTTTCGAGTTGTGGCTAGAAATGCTATTATGAAATTGTGCTTAAAATTAACAAACATAGTTAAGTCACGAAACATAACGACAGAGCCCTGAAGCTGGATTATAGAATACAGAGTTAATCTCATTGTTTGACGTAGTCGCGAAGTCTGATAGAGTGCACGTTAGTCCTCGAAATTACAGCATATACATTACCATGCAGCCACGCTCAATTCTGTTCTACTTACGACGTCAAAGGAGTCCCACGGTGAGAGGCGGCGTGAATGACGCAGCCGCCAGTGGCCCAAGTCGAGCTGAGGCGCATGCGCGCGGCATGCACGCATTCGCAGTACACAACCGCGCTCAAATACGAACCGCCCTCTCACCTATACTATTTGCGGTCTGTGAGTATAAAACTTCATATTTGCTGCAGCTAGCAAAATTTCGTATACAGATGCTTCGTGGCGTGTTCCACTGTACCATCTCGTGATTACACTCACATAAATGTTCAAAATGATCCTTTTACAGCTGTTCGAGGGCCAAGAATTGGAACACAAAAAGCCTTCCCTTGATTTATAACGCAGCAAGCTTTACCGACAGCATGACATTCTTTTCCACAACAGGAAATGAAGATAAAAATGTGTTTCACAGCCTAAATTATTCAGTCACGTGATGCTAATGACGGACAAGTTAGGTCAAATAAATTTGTTATACACATACTGGCCCATATTGTTTTTTATGCAAAGAACAGAGCTGTTTTTCAAAAAAAAATATTTGAAAAGGTAGTCACAATCCACAAAGGTGGAAACAAAAACGACTTTACCAATCTTAGGGCTATTTACAATAACGTGTTTTTTTTTAATGGCTTCGAAAATTATGACCAAGCAATTGTGCAGTTTCTTGGTGAAATACTCGGTCACTTCAATAGCACAATTTAGTTTTGTCAAGGGCAGATAGATGGAATTGGCTTTATTGACGCCAAAGTAGTTTATGAGTACTACACTTGACGCGAAAGAACATATTCTGGGTATACTTTGAGCACTTAAAATATTGAGTGGATTGCATAAGTAGACGACACCGTGAATTTATTTAGGGGCACCGATTCGGGCAATCTCACAAATTGCGCGAACACTATACTGAAGGATATAAAGCATTCGTGTGATAGAAACAATTTATTAAGTTCAATGCTAAGAATACCCGCGATCATCTTTTCCCAAAGCATAAGGCCCTGAATATGACAAGAAGTGTGTATTTAAACAATTAAAAAATTAAGGTTACAGGCGAGGTAATAACACTTGGAGATATATTTTCCGAAACATTGCTCTGAAACAAAGTTGTCTGTGTTTGTGAGAGTTAAATGGAATAACTGGATTATCGCATAGACACCGAATTGTTTTGGCCAGTGTTGTGAAACGTACTTTGTATAACTCCATTTATTTCTACAATAAAGTACTGCCACGTACTTTGGAGTACAACGTCAAAGAAAAATATTTTTCAGTTATAATTTCGTCAAAACAAGCCATTCGGCGTGTACGAAATCTTGCTTCAGAAAAACACCCGTCTAATTATTTTTACGAATACAGAATAACGCAAGTTGAGTAAATTACTTGATTCGTCTGGCGTGTAATGCCAAACGGCCTCGTGAACGAAAAATGTTCGTTATATGAATTCGATTAGCCAACATCCTCGTGAAATTCTATGTAGCACAAGACACGCAGATCTTTTGTTACGACAGTTTTGTCACACTATCTATGGGCAGCAATCGTAACCTATAGTATGGCTGATCTTTAGAAAAAACCTTAAGTACACATGGATTAAACACGGGCAACATAATCATAGAAGCTAGAGTGAGTTGGTACGATCAATTATGATCAGTGATTAAGTTATAGCATGTACAATTCTTCGCAACTTTATGCGAGGGGTAGGATCGGTCGTATTTAGTGGAGTTACGTGCTCTCAATGTATTGTTATTAAATGTTCACCTCAAGTGAACTCGTCATTCAGGAAGTGTCCTGAGGTGGCTCCTCGGAACTCCCAAGCTCATAACCAAATCTGCACGTTGTGCGAAACAAAAACCACTATGTGATACTGTATACTGTCACGATGAGCCACAAGTACTGGGGGATTTATTAAACCACCAGGTAGTTAGCACTAGGACGATGCGTTAGTCGTGGCTGGCTCTCGAGCAAAGAAGAACCCGATCTTCTTTTTTCCTTCAGATTTAGAGCCGCTCTTGCTGTCAACCCACTACGTGCTGGCGGCATTATCCCCCTTTCCGAAAAGAAAAAAAACAAGTACGAAAAAGAGGAAAGGAAAGTACATAGCAGCACCGCGATGCTACTACATAGGCACGTGAAAAAAATGGAAATTCGGATGAAGTGAAAGTAAAAATTGAAGAGCGTGCCAACATAGGAAACGTCAACGAACGAGAAAGTAAGTTCACAAAATAAACAAAAACACAAAGAACGCTGTACGGTAAAGGAAAAGTTACGAACAACGCGCAATAAATGGCTTCATGCGCAACACATGAACGACGTCCGGCCTCAGCCGTGTCCTGCTCCATGCATGGGGTGTTGAGTCCGGAACCACTTCGTAGTTCACGTCCCTGACGCGGCGTAACACTTTATATGGACCAAAGTACCGGCTCAGCAACTTTTCACTAAGGCCGCGGCGGCGGACGGGCGTCCACACCCAAACTTGATCTCCGGGGTTGTAAAACACTTCTCTGTGGCGGGTATTATAGCGTCGTGCGTCTGCCTGCTGTTGCTGGCCGATGTGCAGTCACGCGAGCTGCCGGGCTTTCTCGGCACGCTCTGCGAGTTCTTCGGCGTCTGTTGCAAACTCGTCTTCGTCCTGACTCGGTAGCATTGAGTCTAGCTTAGTCTGCACTTCGCGGCCGTAGAGAAGCCGAAATGGCGTGAATCGCGTGGTCTCTTGCACGGCGGTATTATACGCGAAGGTCACGTAAGGCAAGATCCGGTCCCAAGTTTTATGCTGTACGTCGATGTACATTGAGATCATGTCTGCGAGGGTCTTATTCAGTCGTTCAGTAAGTCCGTTGGTTTGCGGGTGGTACGCAGTTGTCCTTCGGTGTCTGGTGTTGCTCAGTTTGAAAACTTCGTCCGTAAGCTGCGCCGTGAATGCCGTCCCTCTGTCCGTTATTACACTGGAAGGAGCACCGTGTCGTAACACGATGTGGCGCATGAAAAATTGTGCTACCTCAGAAGCCGTGGCTCGTGGGATCGCCTGGGTTTCAGCGTAGCGTGTCAAATAGTCGGTCGCGACGATCACCCATTTGTTGCTGTCCGCAGACATAGGAAATGGCCCGAGAATGTCCATGCCGACTTGGTCGAACGGCGTGCAGGATGCTTCAATGGGCTGAAGCAAACCAGCTGGCTTAACAGATGGTTGCTTTCGGCGCTGACATTCCCGACAGCTCTTTACGTACTTCTTTACGCTTGCTGAAAGTCCTGGCCAATAGTACCTCTCGCTCACTCTGGCAAGTGTCCTTGAGTAGCCCAGATGACCGGATGTGGGTTCGTCATGGCAAGCGAAGAGGACGCCGTCTCGCATGTCTCGAGGATTCACCAGGAGGTAAGCACGATTGTTCGAAGGAGCGTTCTTCTTGTACAGCACACCGTCTCGTAGGCAGAACGACGTCAACGAGCGGGATAAATGACGCGGTATGATTGCGCCCTGGCCCTCTAAATGATCAATGATTGGACGAATCTCTGCATCATCTCGCTGTCGTTTGCTCAAGTCTGATGCACTAACGGCGCCCAGAAAGCCTTCGTCTTCCTCTGCTTCTTGACTGACGACATGAAGGGGTGCGCGTGACAGTGTGTCAGCGTCTTCATGCTTACGGCCGGACTTATGGACGATGGTGACATCAAATTCCTGCAGCCGCAAACTCCACCGTGCTAGCCGACCTGAAGGGTCACGCAGGCTTGCCAACCAACAGAGCGCGTGATGGTCCGTCACTATCTTGAAGGGACGACCATAAAGGTACGGGCGGAACTTGGTGATTGCCCACACGACTGCGAGGCACTCTTTTTCCGTAGTGGAATAATTCGCCTCAGCACGGGATAGAGAGCGGCTGGCGTAGGCTATCACTTTTTCGATGTCCTCTTGACGCTGAACGAGCACTGCACCAAGCCCAATGTTACTAGCGTCGGTATGGACCTCCGTGTCAGCATCATCGTCGAAATGAGCGAGAAAGGGCGCTGATTGCATGCGCTGTCGCAGCTCATCAAAAGCTGCTTGTTGCTCGTTTTCCCAGACAAACGGCGTGTCGTCCCTTGTGAGACGAGTCAGAGGTTCTGCTATCTGTGAAAAGCCATGAATTAATCGGCGATAGTAGGCGCACAAACCAAGGAAGCGCCGGACGGCTTTCTTATCGACAGGAGCTGGTAATTCGGCAACAGCGGCAAGCTTGTCCGGATCGGGACGGATTCCTTCGGCGCTAACTACATGTCCAAGAAATTTTAGTTCTTTATAGCCGAAGTGGCACTTCTGTGGCTTTAGTGTGAGGTCCGCCGATCGGATAGCCTCCAGCACGCTGCGCAGGCGGTGAAGGTGCTGTTCAAACGTGGTAGAGAAGACCACCACATCATCAAGGTAGACAAGACAAGTCTGCCACTTGAGCCCTGTGAGGACAGTGTCCATCATTCGCTGGAAAGTTGCCGGTGCTGAACACAAGCCAAAAGGGAGCACTCGAAATTGGTATAGGCCGTCTGGAGTCACAAAGGCTGTTTTCTCACGGTCTCGCTGATCTA